TACTCACTATCAGAGATAAAGCACATATAAATATAAAAAGTGAACATTGAAGTTAACACTCAGAGGCAACAGGCTGTTTCATGCTGGATGCAATCGTCAGGCATATATATATATATATATATATATACACACACAATACACAAAAATGGAGAAAGGTTTAAAAACATGACATAAAAGATCAAAGACCTAATTCTTTCCTCTTTCTTTGACCAATCTTCATTGTTTTATTACCCCTTAAGCAGAGGAAGATTTTGTTTTACCACCACACACTAAAGACAATGGTTAAACATATGAAAACACTAATTCTTTCAAATATGTGGAAGTAAACATTCTTCACCTGATGAAGGTCATAAGACTCAAAACAGGTGTAGCAAAAAACATGGGAAATAAAGTATATATAAAAAAATCCACATTGTAACCAAAATGTTTGCAGCTTCTTTACTCTTTAATACATATACATATATGTGTGTGTGTGTGTGTGTTTTGAAGAATAAAAAAAAATGTTAAAAATTAAAATTTCAGACACACTGGGTCAGATATTGACATTTTTTTTGTTTTATTTTTTTAAATTAGGTTCCTAGACTAGTTTCAGCCAGCATGGCCATCATCAGGAGAAAAAAAAATCCTGCTTGTTATTAGCTATATATAAATAAAGATAAACGAAATGTGTCTCCTGAGATGTTTAATGTTTTTACAAGTTGAAAATAGAAAAAAAGTAGGAATATTTCTATTTACAACAAAAAATGCTATTGAATTTTTTTGTAAAGTTGTTTTTTTCTCTCCTTTCTTTAGTAATAATAGAAAGAAAGAAAGAAAGAAAGGAATATTAATAAAAATGAATAAATAAAAAATAAAAAGAATAAATAAAAATAAAAGAAATAAATGCTAAAAAAAAAATTTTAACCATAAAAAAATCACGGCAATTACTCAATCAATTCTAGATATTGGTATGTCTATAATATTAGGTTCTTCTCTATGTGGACACACACACTTTTCGTATTGATGCGTCTTTCTAGAAATATTGGGGGGTTCAAGGAGCATTATAATTATCGGCATATTGATGGGCTAAGTTCAACTTCTGATAGTGTCTGTTTAATTTACTTCATACTAAGGTCCTTAGAAAAGGCATGAGTTCATCTTCCCCCAGATATAATTAATAGGAGTAGATTGATGCACCTATTGCCTGGTTCACACTCCTTCCCAGTCTTTTAAACAGGAGAAGAGGTTTACTCCTCATTTCTTGTTTAGGATTGGGTTTCTGGTTCCTTCTAAAATCTTCTCACTTCCATTCACTCCCAATATCCCCTTGCGTCTTAGTGGCATTATTGCCTTGCTTGGGTTGAAATGATTAAGAATAAAATAAAATATAACTGAAATAGCAGGAAATATAGTAAAAACACTTAATTCAAATCCCTGTAAATAATAGGGGGGTGGACTGAACTCTAGGTTTGATAAGGCAACTAACCTACGAAAAGGAAAACTGAATTCAAACACCTGGAAATAATAGTGTAAATTGGATTCTTTAGGCTTGATAGGGCAACTAGCATTTGAGAAGGAAAACACCGAATTCAAACCGTCATAAATAATAGAGCAGACTGGGTTCTTTAGCTTGATAGGGAAACCACATGCAGAGAAGAAAAACTCTGAATTCAAACTCTGTAATTAATAGGGCACACTGAGTTCTTTAGCCTTGATAGAGTAATCGTCCTAGGAGAAGGACAATGCTTAATTCAGAACTGACTTAAAGAGAAATCTTGCACTAGATACACACACTGTTGCCACAGCTGCACTACATGTGGTGACCCTAAGGCTTACATGACTCAGGATCACGGAGGTGTGCATGTATTTATGTAAATCAATGTTTCTCAACCTTTTTAAGCAACAGCAAACGTAAGAGCAAATGAAAAATCTCAAGGCATACAAATAAATAATTACCAAATTTAGCCAAGAGGTGTAGACATAATAGTGCTCAATGTGATTAGACAGAGCTGAGAAATACATGTTAATACACATATACCTACGTTTGATGTGCAACTCAAATTTCATTGGTTACCCAATTCATCAGGCATGAGATACCACTTATTGTTTATTTTAAAAAGTACTTTTTAAAATAAACAATGAGCGGTACTTTTTAAAATAAACAGTAAGTGGTATCTCATGCCTGATGAATTGGGTAACCAATGAAATTCGAGACGCATATCAAACATAGGCATTTGCATATTTATTACCACACACACACGCACACACATATATATATATATATACATGAATTATTCACACAAAACTAATGCAAAGGTTAATGATTTTAAATGGCGAGACATCCATCTCGCAAACAATTCAAATAGTACACAAAAACCTTAGATCCGTTATGAATGAATTGATCCTTGTTCATATAAATTTCTGCCGTATTAGTTGTTATTTTACACAAGCTTTCGTCTGTTCATACAGACATCTTCAGGTATATAATAGATGTTGTTCTTGTTTCTGAAGATGTCTATAAGATGAATATAATTCATGTATTTGTAAATTGATTGCACGTTTATTGTAATATATATATATATATATATATATATATATATATGAATCACTGATTTAAAGGAATCAAAGTGTACAGTTGATGGTATACTAATTTGTAGGTATGGGTGTGTGTATATATGAGGGAATAAATATACATGTGAGTTCATGCCTGTAATTATGTGTGTGTGCATGTATGTGTGTAATTCCTACTTGAGATGATTGTGTGTATACTGGAGTGCAAATTGTGTGTGTGTGTGTATATACATGTTTAGGCAAATAATGGTGAGAAAGGAAACCATTAAGAAGATCACAAGGAAAAATGTCATTTTAAACACAGAAAAACTTGCTAATGAAGTATTATTTATGAAATGCAATAATCAATAATCATGGGTACAGAAAGAGAAGAGGAAAAAACACATGCACACAACCCACCCACCCTCCTCTGTCATATATATATATATATGTGTGTGTGTGTGTGTGTGTGTGTGTGTGTGTGTAAAAACAGTTTTTTTTTTTAAATTCAACTGACAAGGTTTGTTGGTTTAATTTGGTGTTGTATCTTTCTAATTTTCAAATAGGTATTGCTCACTGCAAGGAAAGGCACATTATAGATCTTTCACCACAGGAGAAAGAATTGTAAAATGCTTACAAATATTTAAAATGCACCAATCTCTGTAAGGAAAGGAGCAACATACTCAAAGCTCTTAATATACAAAAGAAAACAACTCATACTAAATAGAATATATATATATATATATATATATATATATATATGAAGAAATATAGTCTTAAGATGTGGTATATTTATGGGATAAAAGTGCTCATTATCAGAGATGAGTGTGTGTAAATATAAATGTGAACATAGAAGTCAACACTTAGAGGTGACAGTCTGTTTCATACTAGATGCAATCGTCAGGCCTGATGATTGCATCTAGCATGAAACAGACTGTTGCCTCTAAGTGCTGACTTCTATGTTCATATATATATATATATATATATATATATATGTGTATACCACAAAAAGATTAAAATGCTTAATGGAACACTACCACAGTTAAATTGTTCTACAGGTCCCACTACTTTGTTTCTTACTTGAAATTGAGCACTTTTTAATACATATGATTTTAAAACAATTATTATTTAGTATTTGTTTATTTCGGTGTGTGTGTATATATATATATATATATATTAGAAAAAGTTGCAAATTAAAAAAAAAATAATGTTTTTTATGAAAGTATTTCAGATATTTCAGATTGACCTCAATCTTTCTTCAGAAATAACTGTTTGTTTGTTTTATATATATATATATATATATATATATATGTATGTATGTATATTTTAAGACATTTTGTATGTTTATAAGTTGTTTTTATAGATACAATATTTATGCTCTGTTTATAATGAACAGTATTAAAGACATTTACCAGCCTGAATGTCCAAGAAATTTTAATAGAAAATATGCATCCTCCGACAGGAATCAAACCTATATCCAATACGGAACTGTCAGATAGCCTGACATGCTTTTACCAATTGAGCCACAGAGGAGCATTTCAGTTAGTAAGGTTGATTTTACTGTTTTTAAAGTTTTTCTTTTTTCATATATATATATATATATATATATATATATATATGAATAAAACAGAAAATAGTACTTAGCCCTTGCTGACATGTTTTGTTATTTGACTTTATCAAGCAAGTGATTTATTTTGAGAACATGAGACAGATGAGGAAAATTTATTTTTTATTTAGTTTTTCCAGTGTTCTTCAATTTGGTAGGAGTGAGGGAGTACAAAATTTGGTAGGAGTGAGGGAGTACAAAATTTGGTAGGAGTGAGGGAGTACAAAAATTTGGTAGGAGTGAGGGAGTACAAAATTTGGTAGGAGTGAGGGAGCACAAAATTTGGTAGGAGTGAGGGAGTACAAAAATTGTCCCTACCGTCCATTTTCCTAAGCACTTTCGGACACTTTTTTACCCATTTTTAAGGGGGTTTTGTTTTGGTGTTGTTAGTTTTTCCTGTTTTAACTGCTCGAGATGTTTTTTTTTTTTTCTTCATTAGTCTTGAATACTAGTAGGACTGTTTAATCTGAACTTTGACATATTGAATATGGCTGGAATTCGAGTGCGTATCTTCATATTTTTTTTTTTTTTTAAAAAAAACATTTAGCAGAAACTTCTTCTGTTGGAAAAATTAAATAAAAAGTTAATAAAATTTTCCTTGTCCACCATATTTAATAAAAGATGTTTAAAAGAAAGGTTGCTGCCCAAAAATACACATTGTGTGTGTGTGTGTGTGCGCACTCCTCTCTGTGTGTGTGTGTGTGTGTGTGTGTGCTCCTCTGTGTGTGTAGTTGAATTCAACTGACAAGGTCTGTTTTTAAAAAAAAGTTTTTATGAATTATGTGTTTAGAGAAAGAGAGAGAGAGAAGATAAAAGAAAAAAATGAGGGAAAGGGTAATAATTATGAGTGAGAGAAAGAGTGGTGTTAAGAAGAGAGAAAGAGAGAATCTAACCTTATAGTGGATAGAGAAAGAAGTGTCTCAAAATAGTAAGATTGGCAGATGTAGGAGAGTGGGTAGAGAGAGTGAAAGAGAAAGGGGTAGAGAGAGTGAAAGAGAAAGGGGGAAAATTCTAAGAGAAATAAGAGAGTGAGGTGAAATGAGAGAAGGGGAATAGAAAAGAAAGACAAACATGAAGAAGAAAAGGGGAGAAACTGATTGAGAAGGGCAAAGTCTTATAAAATGAATATTTTTTCTTTTGTCAAAAGAAGCGAGAGACAGAAAAAAATTTGAAGAAATATTTTTAAAGCTTAAATTTTGTTTTAATCAAGTCATTTGTAGACATGAAAAAAAAAAAAAAAAAAAAAAAAAAAAAAAAAACAAATATTTGGGAAAAAATAATTCAAAATATAAATTAAAAAAGCCAGAAAGAGAAGGAAAAAGATAGGAAAAAAGGGAAATGGAGAAGAAAAAAAAGAGTTTGACTGAAGAGAGTAAAGAAGTGAAGGATTGATTGGAGGGGAGGAGGGGTAAAAAGTGAAATGGAAGGAAAGAAGGGGATAAAAAATTTAAAGGAAGGAAAGATTGAGGAGAAAGGGAATGAAAGGAAGGCGTGGAGAAAGAAGCGAATGAAAAGGAAGGAGGAAAGGAAGGAGCGGAGAAAGAAGCGAATGAAAAGGAAGGAGCGGAGAAAAAAGCGAATGAAAAGGAAGGAGCGGAGAAAAAAGCGAATGAAAAGGAAGGAGCGGAGAAAAAAGCGAATGAAAAGGAAGGAGCGAAGGAAGTAGGGGAGAAAGAAGCAAATGAAAAGGAACGAGGGGAGAAAGAAGCGAATGAAAAGGAACGAGGGGAGAAAGAAGCGAATGAAAAGGAACGAGGGGAGAAAGAAGCGAATGAAAAGGAACGAGGGGAGAAAGAAGCGAATGAAAACGAACGAGGGGAGAAAGAAGCGAATGAAAAGGAAGGCGCGGAGAAAGAAGCGAATGAAAAGGAAGGCGCGGAGAAAGAAGCGAATGAAAAGGAAGGAGGGGAGAAAGAAGCGAATGAAAAGGAAGGTGTGGAGAAAGAAGTGAATGAAAAGGAAGGTGTGGAGAAAGAAGCGAATGAAAAGGAAGGAGTGGAGAAAGAAGCGAATGAAAAGGAAGGAGCAGAGAAGAAAGCAAAAAGAAAAGAAAGGAGTGAAGAAAGAAGCGAATAGAAAAGAAGGAGGGGAGAAAGAAGCGAAGGGAATGGTCGTGAGGGAAATGCAGTGTAGGAAGTGAAAAATCAAAGAGAAATTTGTGAGAAAGAAAGAACTGCAAAGGAAAGACAGTTGAGAAACGAAAGAAGTGTAAAAGGAAGAAGGATGTGGAGAAAGTAAACCGTGACTGCAAGAGGTAAGTGAAAACAAAATGAAGTACAGTAGGGAAAAAAATGCGTGCAAAGGGGGGAGGGAAAGACAGGATAAGTGAAGAAAAGATCAATCGGAGAATATGGAAATTTGAATGAAAAAACAAAAGTATATCAAGAAAAAGAAAAAAAAATAAAAACAAAAAAATGGAAGATAAAAAAAAAAAGAAAATTTGTATATTTACATTAAAGAAAAAAAAAAAACGTATATTTTCATTAAAAAAAAAAACTCCAACACAAATAATTCCAGACAACATACCGACATCAAGACAATTGTCTTTTTTTTTCAAAGATGGCCGTCCATCCGTTATTACTACAGAGATATTTGTATAAAGAGACAAAACACACATAAAAACTGGTGGAAAATATAATAAATAAAAACCCTAAGAGATAAGATACAGAAGAAGAGAAAGGGAACGTAGAGGCTGAGGAGCTGCTGGCTATGGACAAGGTAATCATAGTAAAACGGTGTAATTACTGCTGACGGTAGTGTTCATGGGTAAAAGCTACTTGCAATAAACGACAACCGCCCCCCCCTACAGTTTTTGTATTGTTATAAGAGTTTGGATTTAGAATTAGTGTTGTACTTGTGACAATTTCACCTCTCCTGTAGGCCAAAGACAGAGGGCGGCGTTTTGATGAAAAAAAAAAAAAAAAAAAAAAAAAAAAAAAAAAGAAAAAAAGTCAGAAAGATTGACGGATGGACTTTTGATAGGAATCATGTTTTTACACTTTATGCCAAAGTTGGATGTCCGGGGACTATTTTTCCATGTGTTATCTGTGTCTGTGTGTTTGGAATGTCAGCAAATGTATGATTTTAGAGTTGGTTACAAAGTAATTGGATCAGGGTTGGGGAGTTACTACCATTGGCAATGTTAAACATTCTAAAAATAAAAAATAAAAAAAAAAAAAAAAAAATTTGAAATTTATAAAAATCTTTCACTTAAAACACTTTCTTTAGGAGAACAGGTTTCTCAAGTCCAGTAACTGTTATCGCTCTTTCCAGTATTGATGGGTACTTCTTTCCTAAGCTTTTATTTGAAATAGTGTGAAACGTTAACGTCTTGATTGTCATTATTTTTTCTTCGAGTTGTAAACAATATGCTATGTCAAAAAAAAAAAAAAAAAAAGAAAAACATATATAGGAAGTAGTAATAGTTCATATTTTTGAAAGTATAATAAAACGAAATTATCAATAAAAATGCAGTAAAAACATTCTAAAAAATTAAAAGATTAAACAACAAGATGAAATGACCATTAAAAAGACGTTCTAAATGGTAATATTAGCTGTTTCCCAATAAGGAAACATTTGACATCCATTAACCGAACAGCCAGTGGTATTCTAGTTACACATTTCTTCACTCCCTGGCAATCAGGCTGGGATCAAAGTGTAGTATCTGTTCTCCTCATCTCTAAAGATAATGGTAATAATAGCTGTTTCCCTACAAGGAAACATTTTCACAATGATTTGAAACTTGAACTAATTAATTGAATTAAAAAGTGTAAGACATTCTAAATGGTAATGGTAATAATAGCCATTTCCCTACAAGGAAACATTTGGCATTCATTGACCGAGCAGCCAGTGGTATTCTCGTTACACATTTCTTCACTCCCTAGCAATCAGGCTGGAATCAAAGTGTAGTATCTGTTCTCCTCGTCTCTAAAGATAATGGTAATATTAGCCATTTCGCTACAAGGAAACATTTTCACATTGATTGACCAAGCAGCCAATAATGCTTTCAGTTGAAATTTATAAAATCTTTCCCTTAAAACAATTATTCAGGAAAACAGTTTCCTCAAGTATCTTTTATAGGTCTCCCCAGTATTGTTGGTAGGTTTCCATCCTAACCTTCTGTTTGAAGTGGTATATATATATATATATATATATATTATTAAAGAAAAACTAACGCTGTTTGTGAGATACATGGACAACTTGCCAAAAGACCTAAATACATTTAAACAAGATAAAATCTTGAACAAGGACAGCAATTAAAAAAAAAAAAAAGAAGAAAAAGGCTTATGGGGAAAAAGCTACCTACTCAGTAAAATACTAGATTTCCTAGACAGCAACACCGTTTGACAAAGTTAATTTCTATGAAAAGATAGCCCTAGTCATAACCCGAGTTTCATGCTCAGACATTCGTCAAATGACTTGAACACAAATAAATATATCTCCAGGTATAACATTGAATAGAATTCAAACGTTTGTAACGTTTAATTTAAAAGAGGGCTCGATACAGAGTAAAGCAAGATTATTTCTTTTAGGATATTACACCGAAAACATGTAAAAATCAACATGTTTTTGGTGTGATATCCTGAAATAAATTACACATCATATATATATATATATATATATATATATATATATATATATATATATATATATGCTCTGGAGAAAATGGTTTATTTCTCATACTTGTTAGTTGACCTTTAAATAAAGAATCTGTGAGGATTCACTGAAATTCAAGTACAAAGCATACTTCTAAAATCTTCTTTTATTGTCCTTTCTCCTCACTAACACTGTCTCATTTTCTTTTCCTCTCGATAACCCCTTGCATCTTAGTGGCATTGTCACCTTGCTTGGGAAGAAATGTCATAACCAAAGCAAAAAAAGACAACACCTTATTTGGAAAAATACAATAAAAATTAAAGATTTTATTCGTTCTTTTTAGTCAAATATATATATATATATATATATATATATATAAAAATCACTGGAAGTAAGAAAAATAAGATGAACAGGCAGAGACTTTAAAAAAAAAAAATGATGAGAAGCCATTTTGCCCGGACAATGGCAGGTTATCCTGCAGGAAGAAATAAATAGCATCAGTGGCAAATGAGTCTTTGACAAGAAGCAAGACGCTAACCAAAGATGATTGTCTCATCTGTTTAGCAGGCACTTGTCATTTAGACATAGCCTTTAAGTCAAGGTTAACAGGTGGGGTCTGTAAAGGGCAGGTTTATATAGCTGATAAAATTTATCTCGTCTCTCATGGAGAACAGAGGATTTATCTGCATCAGGGAAAGAAAGAAAGAGATTAAATCCGACAATAATTGCACGAGTTTTTTCTTTACACACACACACACACACATATATATATATATATATATATATATATATCTATATGTTTGTGTGTTAAGTGTTGACTTCACAGATCAGGTATGCATTTATGTATACGACATTGTTGCAATAGAGATCTTTTTCTCTGTGATATGCAAACAGGAGAGAGAAAGAGAGAGCCATGACCCATGAGATTTCTCATAGCCCTCATCAAAGCCTATAAGAAATACTTTCGTGACAAATGTAAAACATATGAAGTGCTTATGTCAAAAGCTAACATCTTCCGGGCAAGCACAGAGCAGGCAAAGTCAATGGTGTGCTTGTGCTGTCAAAGGTATCGTCCAGTATGGATTAGTAGAACTCCAGGGTTCAGCATGTTAACGATATACTCAAGAGTAAATAGCCGTGTGTGTGCGGGGGGGGGGGAGGTGAAGAATGATGGCGGTGGGGCGTACGGAAACGAAGACAAGGAATAGGAGAAATGGGAAGAAGCAGGTGAGAATACTTCAGCAGGAATCACACATCACAGTCAAGTGATTTCTCATCGATACGACAGAGAAGGAAATGTCAGGTTATGTCATGAGTCCCCCAGCCCATTATGGTCCGAGGGGTACAGAAGATACTTCAATGGTGCATCTCGGGCAATACAACCTGACGGTTCCCATCCTTTCTCAGGCTAGTTTTGAGCCAAGTTATTACCCTTCTAGACTTGCTGATCCCGCAAGGTAATCAGTCGGGGAAGGGCGGCATTTAATTACAATGAGGTTCACCATGTACAAAGCCAGAGGAGGCACTCAAGGTAGACGGTTGCAGAGTAAGAGGCACAGTATAAGCAGATAGATAGGGAAGATAGCGGTTAACCATAAACTTGAACAGGTTAAGATTGTAATGATCGAGGAAACATCCTCTTGGGAGTCAGTTCCACAGATTCATGGTGGGACTAAGGAATGTCATACACCAGAGCACTTTCCATGAGAAGAGCGATAGATCAGCGAGAGACATGCAACCTTAGGAATGAGTTGTAAGGTGGAAAATAATTTGGCACCCTCAAGGACACCTAGACAATTCTGGAGTCTATTGAGAATGGAACATGAAGACTGAGCAGCTCCTGCATTTTTGGCCTGATCTGGCTCTTGTAAAGACAGAGGATAACACGAGGAGTCAGTTACTTACTGGAATGATACAGACCATTTTTCTTGCATTTTTAGAGATGGATTATATGTACGAGTTCTACTTGGGGTCTGGAGTTTAAATCCCAATAGTAGCTCAAAGCAATGAGTTTAGAGGAATTTTTTATCATTTTATTCCTTTGAGGTTCACTCTGTACAAAGCCAGAGGAGGCACTCAAGGCAGAGGGTTGCAGAGTAAGAAGCACAGTATGAGCAGATACGTGGGGAAGATAACGGTTAGCTATAAACTTGAACTAATTGAATTAAAAATTCTAAATGGTAATGGTAATAATAGCCATTTCCCTACAAGGAAACATTTGGCATTCATTGACCGAGCAGCCAGTGGTATTCTCGTTACACATTTCTTCACTCCCTAGCAATCAGGCTGGAATCAGAGTGTAGTATCTGTTCTCCTCATCTCTAAAGATAATGGTAATAATAGCTGTTTCCCTACAAGGAAACATTTTCACAATGATTGACCAAGCAAGCCAATAATGCTTTTGGTTGAAATTTATAAAATCTTTCCCTTAAAACAATTATTCAGGAAAACAGTTTCCTCAAGTATCTTTTATAGGTCTCCCCAGTATTATTGGGAGGGTTTCCATCCTAACCTTCTGTTTGAAGTGGTGTGGAATGTCAACATCTTGATTATATCATTATTTTCTCTTTTGAATTACATATGCAATCCAATTTAGTTGTTGCTGGTGTTGGTAGTTCTCAAGTGAGTTGGTTTGTTATTTGGTAGTTTTTAGTGATTCTGTAGCGCCATAAATTATTAGGTAAAAGTGTAGTATAAAATCACACACATCGGTATGTGATGGCTTTGTGCCGACTTGTACAAATTATTAAGTAGTGATCAGGGAAAACATCCTCTTGGGAATCGGTTCCACAGAACAGCGATTCATGGCAAGAAGCTGCTCAAGTAGAACTTACTTCTCACCAAAATGGAATACAGAGGGAATGAGGGTGGTGTGTTACAATGTGAGTGGCAGGGTGGGTCCGAGCCGTGAAGGTTCGAATTGGCAGAAACAAAGGAATGCAGTCTGAGCACTTTCCATGGAAATAGGGATAGAGCAGGGAGAGGCTTATCACACCCCATCTGTGTGTGAGGGGTTGCAGGGTGGAAAATAATTTGTCACCCACAAGGACGTGGAGATAGTTTTGGCCACTATCAACACTGGATATGTGAAGACTGTGCAGCTCCTGCCCAAATATAGCAGCTGTATTCCACTTTTGGCTCTTCTAGAGGATAGAGAATAGCACGAGGAGTCAAGTATTTACAGGAGTGGTACAGGGAACTGACCATTTTTCCAGCATCTTTAGAGCGATGGATCATATGTATGAGTTCCATTTCAGGTCTGGGTTGAGTTTAACCCCCAAGAGGCACTGATTCTAAGCTGTCTGTTTCTCATTTTTTTTTTTTCCTTTTTATAATGATATTCACCTTAAACAAGGCCTGGGAGCAACTCAAGGTAGAGGGTTACAGAGTAAGAAGCACAGTTTATGCGGATACATGGGGAAAATATCGGTTAACCCTAGACTTGAACAGGTGAAGATTGTAGCGCCTGGGAAAGCATCCTCTTGGGAGTCGGTTCCACAAAGCAGGTAGAGGGTTACAGAGTAAGAGGCACAGTTTATGCAGATATGTGGGGAAGATAATGGTTAACCCTAGACTTGAACAGGTTAAGATTGTAGTGATTGGGAAAGCATCCTCTTGGGAGTCGGTTCCAAAAAGCAGTGGTTCATGGGAAAAAGCAGCTTAAGAGGAACTTACATTCTACCAATGAGTCACAAATGAATTGAGGGTGGTTTGCTATAATGGGTGTGGCACGGTGGGTCTTAGCCGTGTAGATTAGGGACTAAGAAATGTAGTTTGTCTGAGCAATTTCCATGGCAATAAAGATAGAGCAGCAAGAGGCTTGTGACATTTCATCTGTGGGGAAAGTGGTTGTAGTGTGGAAAATAATTTGTCACCCACAAGGACATGGAGATGCTTCTGGAGTCTATTGAAAGTGGAACATGAAGACTGGGCATCTATCCAAAGACGGCAGCTGTACTCCATTTTCCACGTGATCTGGCTCTTGTCAACATAGAGGATAGCATGGGGAGTCAGGTACTTACTAGAGTGGTACAGACCATTTTTCTTGCATCTTTAGAGATGGGTCATGTATACGAGTTCCACTTGGGGTCTGAGGTGTCCCAATAGTAGCTCGAGGAATGGAACATCCAAGAGGGGACATCCATTGTGACTATTGGTAGTTCAGGGTCTGATCGGCAATGATGGAATGTAACTAGTTTCATTTTCAAGGCATTGAATGTAACCAGCAGTTTCTTGTTAATCGGAGAGCCGAGTTCCAATTCCAGTAGGGTTTATTATATTCACTTATGTTCAAATATGCTTGGGAAAGGTATGAATCTACCTCTTTTCCCCCCAGCTTTGGGTTAATTAGTAGAATTTTTATCTTAAATATCATATCTCAAAAATTCTTACAACCCATAAATATTTTCTGGCTTTAAATAACCTGCAAAGGGTTGATAAGCTGTAAAATCAATCAAATCAATATGCATTTCTGGCTAATTTCCCTTCTGTGTTTGTTAACAAGCCTTGGGTAACGGGATCATTTTTGTAACTTCTGCATTTAAACTGAATATATTTTCTAATAAATGTAGTATATTAAAATGGACAAATAATTTAAACTTGAAATTTGATCAACTTGCCACCAGCGAAATGACATGAACCAAACTAAGATCAAAAATGCCGGTTCAAATAATTGACTTCTGTATTTAAAATGAATATATTTTCTAATAAATGTAATATTTTAAATGAACAAATAATTTAAACTTGAAATTTGATCAACTTGCCACCAGGGAAATGACATGAACCAAACTAAGATCAAAAATGCCGGTTCAAATAATTGACTTCTGTATTTAAACTGAATATATTTTCTAATAAATGTAATATTTTAAATGAACAAATAATTTAAACTTGAAATTTGATCAACTTGCCACCAGCGAAATGACATGAACCAAACTAAGATCAAAAATGCCGGTTCAAATAAATGACTTCTGTATTTAAACTGAATATATTTTCTTAATATATATTGTATTTTATATGGGCAAACAATTTTGGTTTGAAATTTAATCATCTTGTCGTCATCGAAGCGACAGGTACTGAACTTTTTTAATTATAAGGTGTTGAAAAGTTCTCGGCCAAACCAAGTTGGAATTTCTCAACCAGGAACCCCTTCAAAATAAAATCTGTTGTGTAGCAGACTGATTAGATTTAGGGAAAGTGTATGGGGGCGAATAAACCATGGACCCCCATACCAGCCTCGTAAATCACGAGATAAATGCTGATTCAAATAAATGACTTTTGTATTTAAACTAAATATATTTTATAATAAATGTAGTATTTTAAAATGGATAATATATTTATTCATTGCACACACAAAGAAAGACAGAAAATTTTTTTTTTTATCTTTTACACACCCCAAAACGATGTAGAAATGAAGTTAGTCAAAGGTATAGCTGAAGACATTTCTGAAGAGATGTCAAAGGTTAAATACAAGGCAGATGTGTTGATAGAGAAAAGTAATAATATCAAGGACAGATTGGGTGGTGTAGGGTTGATCTGGGGGTCAGCTCTTCCCACTGCCCCCTCTTTAAGGGCACCTGTATTAGGTAACATAGCGAAATGAAAATTGAGTAATGAACCTTCCTGCAGTCAGGCCTCAAGAGAAAAATATACTTTCACATAAGTTCAATATAAGTAAAAGATATCTATCTTCCACCTAGACCTTACCACCACCACTATTATTATTACTGGAACTAAATGGTAGTTTTTCATATTGATTAGCAATGCTAATGATACGGAAATTCTGGGATATGCATACACACATGCAAACCCACACGTGTGTATACATTAACAGCATTTTATATACAGCTATATCGTATGCCTATATTATTACATAACATATACAGGTATTATATGCACATATCAATATTGTATGCACACACTTATGGCCACATCACATTGAAATGCCGTTTCCCATATGAACACTGCTTAAGCAATGTTGAACCCGGTCAGTACCTAGATGAGTGACCTCTTGGGAACACCAGGTGTTGTAATCTTGGATATGCAGATGGTCTAATGGATAACGACTAGGGATTGTTAGCCGTATATCAAGGGTTACATAAAGAGCTCATATTAAAATCATCTCCAATGAATTTCTATAGAAGCTTTTAGTATTTGCAATGTCCCTATATATGTAATCATTAGAGGGAATGAAAGAAATCCTATCTCGTATATCAAGGGTTACATAAAGAGCTAGTATTAAAATCATCTACAATGAATTTCTATATATGCTT